AATGTGTGTGTGTGTGGGTAAATTTGTGAATGAGTGTGTGTGTGTGGGTACATTTGTGAATGAGTGTGTGTGTGTGTGTTTGTGTCGGTAATTTCTTCATCTAGGCCTACATGAGCAATTATTGATCTTTTCCACAGTTATTGTTCTTTGTACTGGTATTTATGGAAATCACCTAGAACTGTATGCACACAAAAGTAGGCGGTGTAAAAATTATCTACATCATGATTATTATTGTTATTAACAAATCTCGCTTCAAAGAAGTGATAAAAAAATCCCAGTTGGGACATGCAGCAATGTAGCTTGTTGTGCACATACTTATTTCATACATCAGCATATTTCAAATAGTGTGGGTGGTTGGTAGATGCCCTGGTGTAATTTGCTTTGTCTTTCCTCTCAAACACCTATCATCCTTATTTCTCCTTATTTTCTTTGTACGTTACTGTCTAGTAACTCCTCTAATCTGCAGCACTTATATGACTTAATTGTGCTGTTAGTGCCTTAAACACTTTGCTGTCACTTGCCGCAATAATGCGAAGGTGAAAATTATCCATTTCGGTCACTTGAAGCAGTTTTGCGACAGGCCCAAGAAGTCCATTGCAGTCACTCTACTGGCTGGGTGACCGGACGGGGTATTTTGTACTGTTGGCTGTGTGACTGCTAAGTGTTAAAACTTGTAAAAACACATCAGCAAACCCTGATCTTTCTGTCCTACAGGAGAGCGACAAGAACGAGAGGGCAGTCCAGGCAGCGAGTCACAGCACCATGGTGGTCAACCAGGAGGACGTTGATCACATGATCACTGTGCAGCATCTCCTGTCTGGAGAGGACCGGTCAGTTTACATGGCTGTTTGTTTGTGTGTGTATGTTTGTGTGTGTATGCGCACGCACACTCATGTGTGTGTGTGGGTGTGTGTGTATGCGCGCGCACACTCGTGTGTGTGTGTGTGTATGCGCACGCACACTCATGTGTGTGTGTGTGTGTGCGTGTGTGTGCATTCATTTTGTATGTGGTGTGTTTGTGCACGCTCATGTGTGTGTGTCTATGTGTGTGTTTACCTGTGTTCATGTCGACTGCTCAGTGTAAAACTCCATCATACATCACTTTTCATAATGGTGTATAGTGGAGTCTTACACAATGCGCGTGGGCAGATGTGTGTGTGTTAGTAGTAAGTATAGTAATATCACCTCACAGTATCTTGATTAATTAAGTGGAACTGTGTGTGTAGAATGTAGTGTGTTCATGTGTTTTAGTGTATTTGTATACTTCTGTGTGCACATGTACAGAAGTATGTGCATTAGTGTTCTTTAATGATAATATAGTTATATCACCTCATAATAGCTTGATTACTTTGCAAGTGAATGACATTAGTTGAGTCGTTCATGTGGATCATTAAAATTTAATTTGTATTCATTATAAATGTGCTTCCTCCTAATTGGATGCAATGATGGAGACAGATATTGTTCAGATTGCCCTTGGGAGGTTGGTCAAAGACTGCTACATGATCTATACTGTATCAGTAGGAATTTTGAATATATATTTTTGTCACGCCACAGTGACATTAGGTTCTCAATTTTGGGGCTTATGGAGTTACTTAAAATATCTTTTCAAGTTTATTCACTTGTCTTGATTTTGATTTTGAAAAACACTGATTCATTTTTTTTTTATAGAAGTCAAGATATTTATGATAGAAAAGGGTGGGGTCTCCTTGTGTCAGTGGTAAAATTAGTGAGAAAATGGCCGCCTAAGTTTAGCGACTTCTAAAGTTTGAGTGTTAATAAAAACTGCAAACGTACCTAATTTGTGCCTTTCTCAATGTTTTTTGGTAAAATCCATACAGAAATGTGTTCTTAAATGGACCTAAAAGATGTGCTAAAAATGAAATTTGAGAAGAATTGCCCAACAGGTGAAAGTTATTGGTTTCTTCGATTTCATTCTTTTGTTGAGCGTCTGATTCCACCACGCTGCGATGCATATACCGTCATATTTATTGTCCATTATCCTTTTCTTCCTCAGTGCTGACTCTTTGGGCTCCTTGTTGGACTTTGACGAGGTAAGCTGGTCATTTTTAACATTCTTACTTGTACCTGAATAGTTTATTATTTTGAATTTTGAGTGCATAAGCGCATTGTTTATTGTTTTGAACTTTGAGCAGAATTTAGGCAGAAATAATAATGATAATAATTGCATTTATATCATGCACATCACCTCCCTACAGCATGTTTTTTGCAATTTATCAACTATTAATACCCCAGCAGACCGTAAAAAACTCAAAAACATTTTTGACTTCCTGGGAAGCATTTAGTTCATGCACTAGTTCAAGTGCTCAAACATTCTAACAAACTGACAAAATCTTTCATTGTCTGTAGCAAGGTACCCATTCCCACACGGAGGACATGAGGAAAAATTTGTGTAAAATGCCTTTCCGAAGGACAAAAGGTCGAGAGTCTGAGAGTTTAACCTCTAGATCACCGATGCTAGCTATGTGCATTATAGGGAACAATTTTCACCAATTCGCAAAAGTTTGAGGTTTGAATCCAAGGAGTGTATAAATTACTTTTTCATTTTGCTATGAATATTTTTTCCTCTCAGCTGTGTGTGATTAAAAATTTCAAAGGAATCTAAATTGCTAGACAGTTTGCTAGGTATCTTACTCTAGGACATTTACGCCTTTAATGTAGTAATAACTAGACTCGTCCACACTGCAATGTAGTAATAACTAGACTCTTCCCCACTGCATCAGTAGACGTGAGTTCAGTTCTTCCTCAGGAATGTTATTTATTTCTCTTGCGTATTTCCATCTGTCTGCTGGAATGCAGTATCCTAAGGCCAGCCCACCTCCTAAATAATCCAAACATTCACAATCATTTTCAGGATGATGCTTGAGGATGTTTTTCTGGGTGATTTAGGTTGTTTTTGTTTTGAATGCTCTGGGTGGTCTTTCGCAAACTGGCATAGATGTAGTCAGTGACGACTTCTTGCACACCACCTCTGTGGAAGAACAAAATTGTCCAAAATTTTAATGACCATGCTTTTTGTATAAATCATACTGTTTGTAATGGGTTTCCCGAAGGTGAAAGGTGTTTTTGGGCTAAGGAAAAGCTCATCAATACAAAGATAGTTATTTAGTGTAAAGAAAAAGTGAAACAGACAAATAGAATGTAGAAATATTGAAAGAAGACTCTTCCAGCGATGCCCTCCTTCCATCTCCCAGAGGAAAGATATAGTATATGTTATTGGCTGAACTTTTAAAAAACAACACTTAGTGAAAAATGAAATTAGTGCATAACCTTCACTAAGAAATCAGTATAGCTATTGACCGCTGTTATGTTCATGAACTTCTGTTTTGTTCAAATAAAGTGTAAAAATTGGTCCATACATTTTCTCTTCTTTCCTCAAATCTTGCACCCATTAGAACTTCTGGAAAAGTCTTCGAGGATCGCCATCAAAGCAGGAAGCCAACCCTTCCTTGGAGTTCTTGTCCATCATTACCCCCTCTGCTGCCGCTCTTGGTGAGTCAGTTTGTTTGAGAATATAATAAAAATAATGATAATACTACTGCTACTACAACCACTACTACTGCTGCTGCTGCTATCACCACCGACACCATTATTACTATTACTGGTTCTGCTACTATTACTGCTTCTGCTACTGCTACTGCTAATGATGACGATGCTAATAATTTTTTGATGATGATGATTATAATAATATTGACAAGATAATAATGGTCATAATGGTTGTGAAGATGATTTTGAGAATAATAATGGTGGTGCTGAAGATAGTGATGGCCAACGCTCTTTTTCATATTTTGCCCCACTTGTTTGGAATAGGCTTCCAAAAACTATCAGAGAAGCAGAAAATCT